AAAAATATTGAAAATTGACGAATTTTTTTTCTTACGCGTATAAACAATTGGATGTAAAATTTAAACTATTGAGGTACAAACGAAACGAAAAGCAGTACAAACATGTACAAACGATTCTAAAGAATAGGGAAAAAACAGATTCTAAAAATATCGAAAATTGACAAACTTCTCTCTTACGCGTATAAACAATTACTTGTAAAATTTAAACTATTGATTAAAAAATGAATTTTTGAAAAGTCGGGTGCCAGGTTTACACAGCTTCTTCGGAAAGGTTACCTGAAGGTACATACATATTATATAAGTTTGAATTTAACTTTTGTTTATAATAAAAAATACCTGACTCTATTAAAAAAAATGTCCTTAAAATCTCAAGAAATATAACCTTGAGATAATTTCTGGGTATCACAGTATGCCCCCTCTAAAATCAACATTTTCCTCTGGTATCTTTATATTATTAAAAACAATAGAGATATTTTAAACACAAAGTTTAGGAGGCTCCATAAAAAACAAATTTAACACACTGAGTATTTTTAAATTTAATTTAAACTATGGTTGAATGGCTACATATTTTTCCATTAATTTAAACCAAGGTTGAAAGGCTGTATACATATTTTTCCATTAATTTAAACTAAGGTTGAAAGGCTATATATTTTTCCATAAATTTAAACTAAATTTGAAAAGCTATATATTTTTCCATAAATAATAGGAATAGAATAACTTACTGATTGAGACCAAGCTTCAATTGTTCCCCAGCATTTCGTAAGAGTGCATGCGCCTCGCTGTTCGTTAGATCCCTGGTACTCCTGCCATTAATGCTACTAATTAAATCGCCCTCTCTCACCCCCTGCTGAGCCGCCTTACTGCCTGGATTAACCTGCAACGAAAATTTAGATTTGTTCCTCAATTACTACGGAACCTGTGCGGCGCCGTGTACCTGCCTCGTTAATTTCGGAGTGCGTGCAACACGAGAAAAGTTTAATCCATTCTATATAAAATACGTGAGCGATTACGGCTCCTGTTTTTTTTTCGTACAATTAAACGCAGAAACAACATTGTACAATTGTACATTGGAACAATTATTCTGCTTTTCATTTTAATTGCGAGAAATTCGTGCAAACGCTTCGTGTCTCGTACGCAATGGAAAATGCAATTAAAGTGTTTTGAAGGTACTATCACTTATACTAAATGAAATAGTTTTGGGGGGGGAAAAATATAAGCGACTTTGAAACACATTAAAATTGCATTGAAAACTATGAAATAATTTCTAGTTTGTTTATATGAATATTGATCAGTTTTAGATGTAAGTGGTTAAAAGTATGATAAAATGCAGTAAAAAGTATGAAATAATTTTGTCGTTAAATAGCAGTATTGCTCACTAGCTCTTGATGAATTTGGATAAATTATTAAATATAGTATATTAAGTAGAATGCAACCTTTTTGGAGGAGGCACAAAATTGAAAATTTTTAATTTCGGATTGAGTTAGATTTTGGTGGAGGTGACAATATTGAATGCTGTTAATGTATACATGTATACTGTCTACGTGGAAATACTGTCTGAGAGTGTTTGATGTATTTGTATGCAATACTGCATACAGTTAATGTGTATATTATCTACACGGAAATACTGTCTAACAATGAGTAGGTTTGAGATAGTATTTGGTAGGGCCGGCGATATTGAATAGTGTTAATATATATGATGTCTAAAGTGAATATAATGACAGCGATAAGTAAACATTATACAGGGCGTCTCAAAAATGTTGTAACAGCTTGAAATGGGAGGTTCAGGGGGTGATTTGAAACAACTTTTTCCTTAGCGAAAATGTTATCCGAAGCTTCCTTAAGGAGTTATTAAGAGAAAACCCTAGACCAATCAGAGCACGAGGATGCCG